GTATGCCATTTACTTTCTCTGATAAAATAATGAGTAAAAGTTTAAAAACTTTATATTTTTTTTTTTGTAGTACCTAAACTCGGCTCTCTGTATGACCATTGTGTTGATTTGTTTAGGTTTAGATGTTGGATTTAAAAAAATGCTAAAAATGATTATTAAAGTTAGTAAATTCATTGTGCTATCTAATAAATGGATATATTATTAGCTAGGAAATTCGTTGATTAGATGATTAGGTTTAGTAATTACGACCGATATGTTTATGTAAATCATTTATGAAACTATGACGGATTTCAAAACGTATCTTTTGATCCACCAGACCCAATTATTATGGATCATCTATTTCTGATATTATTTATCGTTTTTATGCATTCAAATAAATAATTATAAATAATCCCTTTTTTTTTTTTCGGTTACAAAATTCTTTACTTTGATGGAACTACAATCTACATTACGGTACTTTCCAAAACTCTTTTTTTTTCCCCTTCCTTTTTTAAAAAAACATCATGGCGTTTTGCTATCTAGCATGAAAGAAAAAAATCGTGCATTAACCAATCAAGCTAGGAAAAAAAGAAACTATTTTAGGAAAGAATGCATTTAAAGTCAAAAAAACGGGTTACTCCACATCATCTTATCATTTATTAATTTTCCTAGAATCGGAATTACATATCCTATTATGAGTATCATAATCATCTGAGCACTGAACATATTATTATGAGTTGCGTAAGGGGAAAAAAAATCAATTTTTTTTTTCTTTCTTCGCTTCATTATTTGTTTCTCGTGCTTCACTTTTTTTGTCACAAGATCATTGTTAGGCATGAACCGAACAAATAATTAATAAATTCCACCCATCTAAGAATTCGAGATAACGGTTTGTTATTACAAAAAAAAAAAAAAATGCAAAACACGCGCGCATAATTTTCATAATTGCGCATAAGATTCACACTCGGTGTTTACGGAAATATTTTTTTTTAAAAAAAAAAAGAATGCAGCTACGTAACCATGCCTTTTAATATTATTTCAAAATTATCCGCTAATTCACAAATCAATATGTATATAATTTTTTTTTTTTTTTTTAGATATTCATTTTCTTATTGTTCTTTCGATGAGGGAGAATAAGCGCATCATTAATCATCGTCATATTGTCAAAGCTAAAACCATTATCTTTTTTTTTTTTTTCAACTACAAAAAAAAAGAAAAAAGAAAATTCACGCATTAGAAACAATGATTGTTATTATTTACAAAACACGTTTTCAGCCTTCTAATCAGCTTTACACATGTTGATGGCGCATGACTTCTTAATTATGTAGAATCGTTACACGGTATCTTGACTTTTGTTGTACTTGCTGTGGTGAATTGATACCACATGAGTGCTCTTTTTTTTTTCACAGTTTCACAATTCAAAAAAAGTTCGTTGTTGTGAAAGTAAGTTTAATGTGTTTAATGTATACAAATACTCATGAGAGTTCCTAAAATCAACGTTGGTTGCCAACGCCCTAATCTGTCATATGATTCTTAATACTTTTTAGTATCCAGTTCAACGCACATATACCGGTAGTATATAATTTCTTAACGAGGAAATCAAGTTTGTAAGGAAAATCAAGTTTTTTGAAACCTTGATATTATTTATTATTATTTTGTTTGTTATGTTCACCTTTTATTTATTAAAGTTAGATTAGCTTGTTGTTTACTAATATCTTTTAATAAAATGTATTAATTAATGTAATAATAATCCCAGGCTTATTTTTTTTAAAAAAAAAAAATATTACTAAATTAAATTAAATTCCTATATCCCGTTACATGAGAATTACAATGGACCTTTTATGGAACAACATACAAATTATTCATTAACAACTTGGTGAGATACAAATATTTTGACAGCAACGCTAATCTGTATTGGTTTCGTAATGTCGTTTATTTAAGATTCTGTGTAAAGAACAGAATCAACGAGGGGCTGGAAGTTTGAGAGTTTAATTTTAATTGGTGTTGGAGTATCTCTTGAACTGCGCCGAATTTAATTTGCACCTAATAATTGGTACACTTCTCACTTTTTCACATGATAACTTTTATTCAAATCATCAACGGAATATCAAACGTTAGGGAGAACCACGCGAGACAAATTCAGTAAAAAACGTGTAAAAGAAGTAAATTTTTTTTCTTGAAGGATCCAAGAAAAAAAAAAAAAAAAAAGGTTTGAGATGATAATACATCAAACCCACAATCGCTGACTAAAAAAAAAAATCATTAGTTCGAAACAAAATTTACTGTTTATATTTAGTGAAACGAACGTGACTGGTCCAGGGTAAAGGGATATACCATAATGAGCCTAGTGACATTTTACCCACAAATTAATCCAATAACTCTTGGTTCCGAGTCAAAAAAGACAAACATAAACAAGAGAATGTTGAAACGAACAATTCCCGTTAATCATCCGTTTATCAAATAATCTTAGATCTTTTTCACTAAACACTTTTTTATTTTTGACTTTACCAAATAATTTTTTACTTCAAAAAAAAAAAAACCCCCCCCCCCCAATAGCAAAAAATAATGATGAATCAGGTGATTTTCATTGAAGTAACCGATTTTGAATGTTGAATGTTATTTAACCGGAGGTATAATATGACAGATGGTCCGTTGAAAATTTGAATGAAATTATCCTATCGATGAAATCGATAATTTTTAACCAAATAGATAGTTTTAGGCAAGGATATCAGAGATATCGTTGGTCATGTGGGACAAAAAGGAATGGACATGAGCGATCGTGAATGATATTTTATATAGTTATTATGCTTTTGTTTGTCACATTAAGCTTTCAAGATTTTTTTTTTTTTTTTTTGCTCGTGATTTTTTTTTGCTTTTGCTTGCCTTTGTTCTTTTCTTCTTACAAATAACAAAATCCAATGATTAACCATTTATAGAATAATACAATATTTTTCAAATTTTCAAAAGAAATCCCACACAACTTTGTTAAAACGATTTAGATTAAATCAAATCAGTTATCTTATCACCAAGTAGACCGATTAATACTGATTAAAGTTTTTTAATCATCACGTATGAGTTTCAAGTATATAAAAATGTGGGGTTATTAAAATATATATATGTATGCATGTGTCAAATAACCGAGTGTATAAATAATTTTTTTAATATCAATGCGTTATTGAATATCATTTATTTATAAAAAAAAAAAAAAAAAATGGATAATGCATAAAGATAACGAGGCGAAAAAAAAAACCTTAATCGATTTATTGTATTTATTGTCTGGAAGTGATTGTCATGTCGTTGAGCATAAAAGGGTAATTGGAGAACGCCACAATAGTCGGATATTGCTGCTAAAAGGTTGTGCAGTATTTGTCAAGGCTTGTATTTTGCGCTCTTTATTTGGTTTAGCAAGTTTTCTTATTTTTCAAGTCCAGTGTGATTTAAACCTAGCAAAAATTTTCCAAACAATTGGTACTACGCCCTTCGAACCGAAAAAAAAAAGCGCGTTATTTACTTGTCTTTTTTTTTTAAATTAGAAAAATCTTTTAATCAAAGTAAATAATCAACAGGGTAACCACTTTATTTATTTGTATTCATTCTCGTAAAGGATCAAGATTTTGTTCATTATTCCCATAAGTAAGTAACCCTTGATTTCTTGATAAATAATTAATAATTTTTGCGAGGCTTTCTCTTGGAAATTATTAAAACTACACTCTTATAGGTTGAAGATCTTGTGTTGCTTGAATAATCCGAATTTGGGTGGGGTAATGAACCCGCATATGGAATAAATAGAACTGCACTTCTTTGAACTAGATTTTTTTTTTTTTTTTTGTTTTCTATTTTCTCTATTCTGATTATTTTTAACAAGGCATAAAATGATTCGTCATAGACAAAAAAAACTTAACTTTAATTAAAAACGTGCGGTTATGATTCGTCAAGAGTTCATTTTCGAACTTTATTATGGTTTATTGGATGTCCTTCCGTTATAGGTGAATAAAAAATTTACCCGAGAAAATAAAAAAAACTTGTTTGATGCTCATTTCCAATGTATTAAAGGAATCTTTTGTAGGTTAGCATTTATTGACGCTAAGCCATGTGTGGATAGGTGGGATTGGTAGAATTTTTTTTATATTGCGCCAAATGAGAGAAAATAAGTCGTAAGCGCGATCAAATGACTTATCATTAAAAAATAAGCAGGAATTTCTTAAAATCAAGTTGACTTTTTTTTACCTTTCACATGATTCTCGTTGGTCACGAATTTGGTTCTATTGGTTACGATAAAATTCCGGATATCAAAAATTTCAATCGAGTTGGGATTTCAAAAAAAAATTTTTCATATATGGCAATCATATGATTACAAAGTAAATATTGTAATCACGAGTGTGGCACAGAGTTTGGATCTGACTCGGCGAAGACTCGGTGAAAGTTACTATTATTAATTTGTGGACATGTTATTTTTATTTTATTTTATTTTATTTTTATATTTATGTTTATATTTTATTTTATTTTTTAAGATTTATGGTATTGACGGTTTCCTTTTATAGAAGTCGCTTTTATCTCCACGTACTTGCGTTAATTATCCTTTTTGTTCCATGGATTTTGTTTCAGGTAATAAAAATTTCTCTTTTGAAAAAATTTTCATTATAAAACCTTTTTTGTATTGATAAGAAAGTGTGTTGTCTAACAAATTTAATGTAAAAAAAGAAAATGAATGTAGTTACGCGTAATTGTACTCCAGGTTTCATTTATTTTTAATGAAGATAGTAGGGAGACTATGCATGAGAGGAAGCTAAATGGTAAATTCGAATAAACGAAGCCTATGACTCGTTAAAAAAAAAAATTTCTAGCCCATACAAAAAACATTGTTGGGTTGCTCTAAATGGTAAAGGAATTGCTCATCAACAGGTTTTAATATATAGGTCGCGACGATCTCGGAGCGTTATCTATAGTGTGTTCCCAATTTGATTTTGTATCATGTGGGACTCACGGGGTCACCGAATGTCATGTGCCGCAGCCAGATCACCTCACAAATCCTGACGACATTTAATCGTCGAGGGAGAAGATTTCCAGCCCTTGGATGTAGAACATGTGCAATAGCAAAGGGATTCTTTATCGTCTTCCCTGAGACCCATCCTTAACATCCCCGAATCAACACTTTTTCAATAAAAACTTGGTCACGTGTTTCCCTGAATGCTCCTTGCATACATGCGTTAAGATCTTGTAACTTTGTTCTATGTTCTCAAGCTTTGCCGGTTGCTTCTTATTCTCCTTGGTCTCATGAAGCGAACGAGGTCAAGAAATTCTGAAATGTGAAGGTAAAACCGATGCGATCATGATCAGCAGATGCGCAGTAGCGTGAAAATTTCACCGTTTAATTTCCAGGTTTCAGGATGTTCGTAAAAACAAACAATAAATCCATTATTCCGTCACTTGATTGGCACCTATTTTGGTTAGCAATTGGACCGACCATATGCAAATAAGCCTTATTCTGAAAAAAAAAAAAAAAAAAAAAGAATCCTTACTATATGCGTTTCTTGCCTATGCTGCACAGCCTCATACTTATTCAAATTAGAAACACAAACTAATATTATGTTTTTTTTTCCTAAACAAGGAAATTTCGATACACTTGTAGAAATTCTTGGTGAATTTTGAGAAAATAGAATTGTTGGTTATATTTCTATTGTTTGGATATTATATTAATATCCATTTCAAAACAGGAGCAGGAGTAAACGCTATTCTGTAGTTTGTGCAGCAATTTTTTTTTTTCATTGGATTTTGTTTAATCCGGAATTTGTTTAATTCGCTCCGTAAATTAATTATCTAAATTCAGAAATATTTTCTTTACTAAAATGTCACATTTATTTTACTTTCAATTTATGTGGATCGCTGACGAGTGACAAGAACGGATTATCGAACCTAAATGGAATGAACGCGCTTAAAAAAAATTAATAATTTTTCGTTAGTTTATTGAAAAATATTTGCTGCTGCGGGTAGTCAAGACTATTTATGACCAATCAGTTGATTGTAAATATTTTGGCCACGAGTTGTTTTCTTTCTTATCCATGTGATGAAGAACTAGTGTAAGATAAGAGAAATTTCGGAACTACTAATTTTATTTTTGTAAACAAACAAGGACGATGATGTCGTACGACGAAATGCTTTATTAATGTGCAACGTAAATCGGGTCTCCGGAACTAAGATCTCGGAGTCTGCCGGGTCTAAACTATTTTTTTTTTTTATTTCCGTTTAGGTACAGAACATCGGTATATTTTTGGGCAATAAAAAAAAAATTTAAAAAAAAAAAAATCTAATCTAACAGGAATTTGATTTCGCTCTTATTAATCAACTTTCTTTTTAATCTTTTTTTTTTTTAAAATCTAATTTTTTTTTTTAATCGACGTTTTTTTTTAAAAAATCTTTTCTTGACTCCTTAGATTTTTTTAATAGATTATAAAACTGTGAACTGGATCTCTGTGTGAAAATTCTCTCCCGATTTTGAGTTTATTCCGATAAGATTAATTCGGAAACCTCGTGGTAATTTTTTCTCATGACACTTCTCGTGGATAATATCTCGTGGTAATTATAATATTGCTATACCTCGTGCTAACACAATAACAACAAATTCAAACTAACTAATTCAAAACATTTTTATTCCCGAATCCTTGGCCCAGAGTTCAAAAAAGGATTGACAACCTTAATTTAAACGTTAAACTAAATTTATACAAACAATAAAATTGTTTCTCTCTCGACCACGTGATTTTCAGTTGACAAATTTTACGACAGATTTGAAGTAAAATTACTTACAATTTCTCTAATGGCTCTTTATCAGATAATTTAGCAAAAGGAACGAATTATGTATTATTACTTTGTAGCAACGTATGATCCATAACAAATATGTCATTGAACGATTAATGTTTTGGATGGTTTGAAATGGTTTCCTGAACAAAATTCTTGTTCGTGAGATTTAACTCCTTTTTTTAAAAAAAGGTGACAAAAAATGATGAGTATTTTTTTTGGATTATGCATAAAATGGTAAGAGTAGAATAGACATCACCATTTCAAAATCTTTTCCATTTTTCGGTTGGGCAAAAATCTTTTTTTATTAAAGATCACAAATTTAAAAGGTCGTTACTGCTGATATTTACGATATGAGTACTTTCAATGATATCAATTTTAGTAACTTTAATTTACCGCATTTCCATATTTTTTTTTTTTTTTCATAAAATCAAAATTTTTTGACAATTGGATGGATATTCACATTCATTTGCAAATAAAAAAATATTCAAAAGAAGTCCTTCAAAAAGGATAATTGCCGATTCCCTAAAAAAAAAAAAAAAAAATTTACTATTCGATATTTGAAACTATTTTTGAAACTCAATTTGAATTTCTAACGAAAATCACTTTTTTTTCGCTTATTCTAATTCTACAAAATGACACAAATTTGGTATCTTTACATAGGGTAACGGTTGATCAATAAATTTCATTATCCGGCATTCCATGTTATGTATGATAAATATTAACTAATTAATTTATAAATTGAATATTAATTATAATAACTTTTTATTTATAATAATTGTCTTTCTATCCAACTTTTATTAGATATATTTGATACTGAATCGGCCTTTTACTTTCTTTGTTCATTAATTGGGCAATTATAAAATTTTTATAATTAAATTAAATATCATTATTGTAAGTTTTTTAAAAATATAAACGTAAATATTTTTTTTGTAAATTTCATTTTCATTGTTATAATAAGTTAACTTAATCACATCTTCTAACTAAACTTATAATCATAATTAATTTATCATATATATAACTATATCTATTATTATAAGTAATAATTATTATTACAATAAAAAAATATACTTGAATTATATATATCAAATATTATTACTATAAAAAAATTTCAAAAAAAAAAAATATTTTTGTATCATTTAATATAAATGATATATGTGAAGTTTACTAGAAAAATCAGGCTCTGAAAATTTTTTTGATTAAAATAAGATCTTATTATATTTAATCTAATAATATCAAAACTATAATATAATAAAAATCAAAATTTTTGTTAAAAAATTTCTAAAGACTAATGTTCCTAATAATCTTCCTATATAGTTTTAAACTAAATTTATATTATTTAATAGTAAAAATTTAAAACCTATAAGAATTTTTATTTTTTATTTTTTATTTCTAACTTTAATAAATCACAAATAAAAATCAATTAACAATATAAATAATATTATTTATATTATATTTTAATATTTATTTTATTATTAAACTTCAAATCTTTTTTTATATTTTAAGCTTATTATAATATAAATAAATATTATTATTATTTAGAACTTTTATATTAATAATATTATTTTAATATATTAAAATATTTATTAAATTTTAATAATTTATTATAAAATCTGATTAATTTAAATATTTTAGTATAGATTTTATAAAATTATAGATTAAAGTATGATATATTAGATTACAATTATTACTTTATAATCTGAGTAATACAGATATAACCTTATTATCATGTATAATATAATTATAATTTTATTATCTAGATAACACAAATATAACTTGATTATTACATTATAATATAATTACTATTTTTACTATAAGAATTCTAATTAAAATGTTAAAGGATATCAGAAAAGTTTTTAATAATATTTTCAAAACATTTTAGATAATAAAAATTCATATATTAATTTAATGTTTAAAATTATATTAAGTTCAAATTTGCTATATGAAAAATTTTAATATATTAACTTGAAAATAAGTTTAGAATACTAAAAAAATCAATAATTTTATATAGCTATTTCAATCTGATTTAATTTTAACTAAAATATTAAAATTTATGCTATATTAAATAAACTAAAAATGAATAATTTATATATAATATTATCATAATATTCTAAAATTAATTTTAAAAAGTGATTATTGATATAAATAAACATTCACTAAGTCTAACCTTAAGAAGGTTAAATTTATCAAGATCAGTTAACAAATTCATAATTTAAGAATTATTAAATTAATTCTAATATATCACTAATTTTCAATATATAGAAAAGTATTTTAGAATTTATTTTCTTTATATAAATATATGACAGAAATAAGATAAAACTTATGAGTTAAAGATTAGACTTACATATTAGAGATTAAACTTAAATATTATCAAATTTATAATTAAAAAAATTGCTTGATCAAGTTCTAATATACTAATAATTTATCAATAAACAAAAAACTATTTTAAAACATTTCTTTTACTTAAATATAAGGATAAAAAAATCTAACTTCTAAAATTTAACTTATTAAGTAAATATATAAACTAAACTTAATCTTAAAGAGTAATCTTTTTATTATATTGATCAAAATCTAAGCCTTATTCTAAAGTCTATTAACATATTAGATTATATAAGATCTTTATAATAGAAAAAAAAAAATGCTAAAAAAAATAAAAAATAAGTTAATGACAAATCTAATCTAAAAATCATATTTGATATATAAAAGTAAAATTGATTTTTTCTAGCTGTTTTTTTTCTTCTATTACAAAGGTCCTATATAATAACCTCTAATATACAATTAGCATTAATTATAAACTATTTTAATAAATTATCAATTTAAAATAAGACTGATATTTTTTAACTTTAAAGTATAATTAATAACTTTAAGACAAGTACAAGTTTTATCACAAATATTGCTAAAATTATAAAGATAATTATAAATAAAATCTGCTTTTATTTTTTAAATATATAAATTTTAATAATATAATCAAAGCAGAAATATTTTATAAAAGATCAAAAGAAATTAAATTTATATAAATTATAAAGAGCAAATCATAAATTATATTAGATAGAAAACCTTAGGAAATATATATTAATTAGCATAAATTATATTTTTTAATTAAAAAAAAATATTATCAAATCATAAATCTTCTCACAGAAAAAATTAAAAATTTTGATATTATCATAAACTATATAAATTAAACTATAAATTAATTAAGAATTTATTTCTTAATAAAGAACTAATTAATAAAAAAATAGAAAACTTTCTTAATTCATAAATTATTTTATAAGAAGCTATTAAGAAAATAATTCTGTGTTAGAAAAATAATCATTAAATTTTTCTTATAAAAGATTTTTTTGAATTATTTCTTTATCATTTTTTAATCAGTATAAGATCAGCTAATTTTTTTATACTTAAGATTCTTTAATATAATAAATTTGAAAAAAACTAATTTATATTAGTTATACATTTTCTTTCTTCTCTAATTTACTAAAATTAAGCAAATATATTACTAAAATATTATAAGAAAATTTAAACTCATTAAATTTTTTCAAAGTTTAAAAAGTTTAACATAAACATGTTTTATTTTTCAAGTTTCTGCAAGAAAAATATCTAAAAGTTAATTATAGAATTATTAATTTCTAAAAAGAAAATAAAAGGTTTTTACTCAAATTTAACAGTAATTACTATAGTAGAAGATAATTTAACTTTATAGCATTTTAAATAAAAAATACACACTTTTATAAAATTCTACTTTATTTTGAAATTAATAATTTTATA